TCACATATTTCCTCCTGGGAGACACACAGATCTAACCAACAGATGGCTGTGCAACACCCTGAAGGACTCTGTTCACTTGGGACATATAGGCACAAAAACGCTTCCTAGATGATGATACCAGATTATACTTCAATCAGTTCCAACAGAATCTGCACAGCTCGAGTCCAACCCAGAACAAACCTGAATGATTATATTTAACACATGTTCCAATAGTCCTCATGCTGGGTACATATGGATATATCAACAATCTGATCCTTAATACGTCGTCCCCTCCCGTTTGTTGACCTTCGTATATTTTCGTAACAATTTAAATTGTTTCTTCTTAAGTGGCTTTGGCTCTAGGTAATCAAGGTTTGTCAGCTGTGTTTTTGTTCTAACAGCTCAGAAAATCAATATTTTTCCATTGATGGGACTCCCCATCCCCCTTTGACTGGGCTAAAACATTTCTCGCAGTGTTTCATGTAGGCTTCTGCAGAGAAGGAGCCTGCTTGGTTTCAGAGTTGTTGGCAAGGGGCCTGGCATTCTGGAAGAGCCTTTGTTTCGTTTCTGTCCACAAGACCTGCTCCTCTTCACTGCAAAAGCACCATGGAGCTTTTTTTGTTCACAGAGATCGATAATTCAATGCAGACTACAGCAGGCGTGGGAGCATGTGTTTAAAGGCATGACATCTCGACCTTACAGCTGCAGAGAAGTTCAGCAAGAAGAAAGTAGAGCACATATGCACACATGTTGGGGAAAAATCATGTTGTGCTCTAGCAAAATATTAAGCTTTAAATGCCCTGAATTCACAGTATTCTACATTTGCTCTTTCTTCTTCTTCTTTTTTTAAAGTTAAACTAACCAGATGTGCTCTCTTGACACTTGCCTTCTGGGTTGCCAACATCTGGTAATCCCACCACTGGAATCACATTTAACCCAGAAAGTGGTTGCCAAGACTCTCCCTAGTTGTTCACTTTGATACTCATTACTACAAATCCCTCCCCCAACTTTTTGTGTTGTTTAAGAAGAGATTGAGTTCATAAGTGCTATACATTGTATAGCGAGCATCTTTTAATCTGCCCAGTTTATGCTTTAGGACTAGAAATTGACTTTGGCAATGAAAAAGAACATTACTGGATAGCCTGCTAGTGATTATTTGAAGAATAGCAATAGCACTTCAATTTATATACTGTCCCATAATGCTTTACAGGATCAAACTGTAGACTGTGCGTAGAATTAGTCTGCAATGCTGCATTCTAACTACTGTGCCACCATGGCTTTATGTGAGCTGAGGGGCAAAACACATGGTTAGATCAGAACAAGGCCACCACTAAGGCATAACTAAGATAAACCGTAAGTTCAACTCTCCATCCAGTGTTTATTATGGTCAGATGGATGGAATGGGATGGATGGGAGACAGCAGGTTCTTTAAAGTCCAATCAGCTGTTTCCCTGGCATTAAGTCTTCTGTTCACACAATGGGAAATTGCCAGGAGAAAATTAACAAGCAATTTGATTTTCCCCCATTATTTACAAGAAAATTATGGCGACAAAGACAATTGGGCAGGTCTCCTGTTTCAAAGTTCTGTTTCAAGCCCTTCATTATGCCAGCAATAGAAACACTCACAGAGACAACAGTGCTTAACATGCACAGAGGAGTCATGTGCCATCCTTACATTCCTTAAGACCACTATATACCTATACTGGTCCTAATAGAAGTTGAATCCAACTGCTTCCAACCCAGTAGGAATGTTAAGTCACACAGGGCAAAAAGCACTGAGTCAGTTTCTGCTTCCAAATGTACCTCTATATTTAGAGCTTAAAAACCAACAATTAGTGTGATGTGAGGATTTAATATTTTTCACTACCAGATCGATAGCTATGGTTTTAAATTGCTTCCTGAGGGATTTTTTTTTTTGGTGCTATTGCATAATCTGTACTCAATGTGTACACAATAATTCTTTTTTTTTCTTTCTGGAAGAGGAATCTATTTCATCAGTATATGAAAAGCTAGCCATGCTGCCTTGCTATGATGCAAAAGAAGCTTGAAGAGTTTGCATTGCATTCATTAAAATCTGGGATAAATTTCCTTTTCTGCCAAAAGTCAGTTGTTGAGGAGGAAAAGTAATGACTTAACAAGAAGAGGAAGCAAAAACGGACTTTACACTTCTGGGATGTTCTTTCAACTTCTCAATTGGTGGTGAGCATACAGCCCTCACATTTGATGGTGGTTCTCCATCCAGATATTAATGAGGCCCCCAAACCTTCAGCTTTTAAACGAGATCAGCTAAGGTCAGCTAGAAACCAGTATTTCTCTTCAAACATATTTCTGCAGATGTTGCTTTTGTTTCTTAACATAAGGCATGACAATAATTTTAGATTGTATTCCTCTACTTTCAAGAACAATGTTTCTCAACTTGACAACCTGAAGATGTGTGGATTTCAACTCCGAGAATTCCCTAGCCAGCCCAGCTTAGTATATCATCTGGCTTTCCTGTAGCAGGGGGAATAGCCTGAAATTGGCCACGCTGGTGGAAACTTGCTGACACTGTAAACATGGCAGGTTCCTAGTGGAGGGTGAGCACTATGCTAGGCACTGTTTTTATTTACTTTAGAAGAGGTAACTATGGTGGCCTATGTTTGGGTAATGTAGGAAGGAAAGGAAAGGATAGAACATAGAACATGATTTTTCTTACTTCCGGCCTAATCTCAGTAAGAGGTTTTTCCCCTGGCAGGCCACCTGGGCAAAAACTGGAGATATAAGTCAAACTGAAAGTCAAAAGTGAAGTTGAAAAGGATCAACAACATATATTTTTGCTTAGAAATATGAAGGGAGATATAAGTCACGTAGTTTTGCCTTAATGCACCTTTCTACTGGTATATCAGAAGAGGCGATACTTGTGAATTGTTGCTACTCATGTGGCCTGTTGGCTTCTCTAGGGCTATTGTATGTAGGTGGCAAAGATGCAAGCAATCACTAATTTTTTTTGTAGTTCTAGGTTTCTTTCTGTTAAGGCTGTGAAAACTGCTGAAAGGGGCACTTTTGTTTTGAAGGGCACATGTTTTCAAAGCACTATTTGGTATGTCAATGAAGATTCTCAGTCCTCCAGGTAGGGTTGCCTGAAAATTGAGTCCATGGCAACTGGACTTATTTTTGCTGATTTGAAACATTTGGCTGCTAATCCAAGCAGCTTCCTCAGTTGAGGCAAATTAATTAGCCAAAGAGTCATTGGAATGTACCAACTCCTCCTGTAAGAAACTCAAGGTTTCTTCCCCAAAGTGTCTGACAATATGTCAATGAAGATTCTTAGTTGTCCAGGTAGAGTTATCTGAAAATTGAATTGTCTCAATTGATGTTGGAGGAATTGTACATTCCAATGACTCTCTGCCTAATCAACTTGTTCAGCCCAAGGAAGCTATTTGGATGAGCAGTGAAATGTTTCAGATCACCACAAATAAGTCCAGTTGCCATGACTCAATTTTCAGACACTCTTTGGAATATTATACAAAGTCATAGTCATTCAACACATTAAGCCCAACTTAGCCAATTATGGTTTAGAGAACAATCTATCCAGGCAGGATTCACACAATGTTTTAAGAAGTAGTTTATAAATCATGCTGGCTAAGTTTAAACAACATTGTGCTCTATGATTCTGTTCTCACTCTTAGTATAGTGGATGTTGATTCCCAATTTTTTGGAAAAAAGAATTTCTTGGACAAGACAGGTTTTTAAAAATCTGATGCTTACTATAGTTTGTCCATATTATGCTAAATGAGGTGTGTGAAAGAGAGTAATATTAATGCTGTGCCTTAAGGCAAAGGAACTTTTGATTTAGGAGGCTGCTGAGTCTTACAAAATGTTGTCAAATCCAAACCACTTCCTTCCCTGGAGTTGGTTAAGCAGAAACTGGACATCTTTCTATTGGAGATGCTACAATAATGGATTCCTGGATTGGGCAAGAGATTGGACTTGATGGTCTATAAAGTTCTTTCCAAAATTTTCAGTGAAAATGCTGAAGAACATAGTTTTGAGGTAAAGCAAATAGAGGGAAACCTCACTGATTAAGAAAACCTTATCTCTTTGTTTGGCAAACATCTCCAATGTTTGTCAGCTTTTGAGAAGTTGAGCCAAAGTTGTATAAAAATTCTTGGAAACTTGAGCGCAGCCTTTTTGGAAAAGGAGAATTAAAAAGAGAACATGACCATAGTTTGAAAACTCAGATGCAGCCAACTGGGCAAAGTTTTGAAGAGAAAAATGGACTAGGAGAGAAAGCTTTAAGCAAAACACAAATGGCTTGTCCGTTAGCCAAAACAAAATTTAAATGGGGTAGGCAAAGAAAATGTTTTGGTAGCCCAGATTGCTGGAAATATACTCTTCCTGGAATTTATTTGTGGCAAGCTTTATTATGTCTATATGGATCCAAGCTAGTATTCTGACAGCCAATAATATAGAAAATAATAGCTTTTCAGCATGTGTTCCATTATTCAAGTGGTGTTTATTTTTGAGCAGAGTTCAGTACTGATTGTCTAGAAGTTTTAAATTGCTCTAAGAACACAATGTAATATTATAGGACAGAAAGTATTTCTATCATTGTTAAACCCATCCATGAACATAATCGTGAACTTATTGGGCAAAGTTTCTAGATTGCAGGTTATGAAGTCCAAGAAAGATTCAACAGCAGCTATTTTCCTTTGGAGAAATTGAGAACTAATTAAACTACCATAGCTGGGATGCAAAAATCTGGGAAGGCCCTAGATGGAAGCAAAGGCATAAGAGTATCCTTGGTGGGCCTTTTGATTTTGGAATCTGATTTGGGAGCCCCACTAATGAGTTGAGGTTAGAGCTGCTAGAATTCTCCCTCATATCCCTCCTATGAATAGGAACAATGCACGCAAGATACTTTCATGCACCCAGACTTTAAGAGAAGTAGAGAACAATTTGGATGGGCATGTTCTTAAAACGCACCTTCACGACCAACCTGCTTTGTTTTAATCCTTGTCCTTTCCTCTGCTCGTCTTTAGAGCAGGTAGAGATTGAGCTCCCTCCCACCAACAACTTCAGCCCCTGCAACATCCATGACCGTAAATGTCTGCAGAAACAACAAGCAAGAGCACGGGAACGAATAAACAATGGTGTCAAGATGTGGAACCCCATACCCCGGGAGGACATCCGGCCACTGGTGAGGGGCTTTGGTTTTTCTTCAGAGAAAGAGGAATAGAAACCACATTTGACTGAATTAGGCTCTTCCCATTTGCTCCTCAGTTTTGCTCTTCATTTCCCAACATTTCAGATGCCTTCCAGATGTGTTAGAATTACAAATCTCAGAATTAGCTTGCCAGCACAGCCATGGGATTTCTAGAAATTCTAGCCTGATGCATGTGGAGGTTTGTGGACAATCTGATTAAGAACCCCTATTTGAAACAAGAAATATTTGTACTTCTGTATTTTCTGGTTTTTTTTTGCTACTTTATAAAATTCATTCCCAACTTGCCTCAGTGCTGGTTATTGCTAGTCATTTAATCCAGTGCACCAGGTGAACTCATTGGAGGCTTCCCTGTTATAGTGACTATCTCACTAAGCTTGACTAATCAAGCCATGGACGGCTCATTAGCCACCTCCATTCCAGGGAGGGGTAATCTGGTGAGAATGAAAATATTCAAGGTTCAAGGTTTATTATACTTGTATGCCGCCCTATTCCTGGAGGGACTCAGGGCGGCTAACAAACTGAAGGGGAAGGGAATAATACAGACAAAAAAGCAAAAAAAAACCCAAACAAACAAAATACAGAAACAATTTAAAAGTAGTCAACAGCCACACAATTCGAGTGGGGATGGGAACTCATCAGCTCCCGGCCTGTTGGAACAGCCAGGTTTTGATGGCTTTGCGGAAAGCCTGAAGGGTGGTGAGGGTCCCGATCTCCATGAGGAGGTCGTTCCAGAGGGCTGGAGCAGCCACAGAGAAGGCTCTCCTCCGGGTGGTCGACAATCGGCATTGGCCGCTGGATGGAATTCAGAGGAGGCCTAATCTGTGGGATCTAATAGATCTTTGGGAGGTAATTGGCAGCAGGCGGTCTCTCAAGTACCCAGGTCCAATACCATGAAGGGCTTTATAAGTGACGACTAGCACCTTGAAGCGTATCCGGAGACCGATATTCATTAACATGATACTCTGAGAGACCTTGGATGCATTCACAGTTCCTGTGTTCTGACTGAAATTCCTCCTATTATTTTGCCAACAGGTCCAAGGCTTGTGTCAGAGTGAACTTCAGAGATCCTTAGAGAGACTAGCAGCTTCCCAAACCCGAACCCATGAGGACCTTTACCTCATTCCCATCCCTAACTGTGACCAAAATGGAAATTTTCATCCCAAACAGGTAACCCTGAAACATGGGACGGCATGGGTAAACTTTTATTTTGTGTGGCTACGATGTTTTATTTTTTTTGGACCAAATTCTCTTGACTTAGAAACAGATTTTTAATTCATTACATCTCAGAACTGCATAGCACATGTTATGAACTATTATTAATTGTGTATTAAGGCAACTCATGTGTGTTCGCTTTTCCTTATGGAACTCCAACAATGTATCAACATTACTGAGAAACCTGGGTGCAAAAATAAACATAGAAAGGGCAACAAACCTCCATCCTCTGTTCTCCAATTGTAACCTATTGGGTGATGGAAAGTCCTTCTTGATGCCTATCAGCTTACTGTTCTTACACCTCAAAGGTTGGGCAGGACATTGCAATATTTAATAAGTAACTTGTTCTGACTCCGAGAACTGACATGATGTCATTCAACCTTTCCCAGCCTAGCACCTTTCTGATATGACAGATTACACAGGGTGGAAAATGTTAGTGAGAACCTTTTGAAAATACGTTCTTGACATCTCCAGTAAATAACTGTTATGATAGCCATAACTGGTCAGATAACACATCATGTGAGGTGGTGAGATGACTATCCATCATCCTGGTAGCTTCCCAACAGTACCCTCTGCCATTCTATTTGCCTTTGCTTTGTGTGGAGTTGATGGCACAGTTCCAGATAAAACACTAAACACATTGCCTTTTAAAAGTAGCTCTGGACCTCCGTATTCCCACAGTATCAGTAATGTTGAGGAACTGAAGTGATTTATTTCCAGTTCAGCTCTAGTATAGTTGATAGTTTTTTCCCCTCCTTTTTTGAGATCCTGTAGTTCTATTTTGCCATTTCCTTCACCCCAACTCTGGGGTTTTGGATTCTATAAGGAAAAATGCTAATTTCATGGCATTTCAGTAGCCCAAATTAACAGAGGGGAAAATAACTGGCATATAAATAGCCAAAGTACCCCTCCCACCCACAAATCCAGACCACCCCAAACCTTCACTCAGTGATAGTGCTGAGGCTGGACCTGGGCCTTGATTTCAGACCTAGAGGCACCACTGTCACTCAAAAAGGCTGCCTTTTGCCATTCCCCATTGTTCAATAGCCTTGGAGGATGGTATAATATTCCTTGTGGCCCAGTGTTCCCCGGGTTCTGCTCTATACCACTTATTTTTACCCAGTATTCTCTTTTTGTTACTGCTTGTACTACTGTTCTTGGTTGCATGAGGTCTTCAATCTTGAAGCAGGTTCAGAGAAGGTTATTGCACAGCCTCAACCTTCAAAAACTGTGTAAAAGCACTCCCCATTCTTAAAACAATTTTCGGAGGCTCCAGAGGCCATTCAAGAGCACTGCCCATTTGTATGACTTCTGGAAAGTTTGGAGGAAAGCACATCCCATTCCCATGTGGCCTCTTGCTAGCTTCAAAAATTGTGCAAGAATGGGGTGTGTTTTTGGGAATAGTTCTTGGATATTAGTGAGCCCTGATGTATCGCTTAAAATGTCATGGTACATCATAGGTTCAATACATCATGTAATGAGTCCAATGTTTTCTAGCCTCCCCACCCCACCCCAGGTTTACATTTTCAACATAAATTTAACATACCTTTATACATTCTAGACAATTTTTGGGGACCTATACCAACTGTTTTATAAAAATTATGTTTATGATATAACAATATATATACATTTCAATTTTTTCAACCCACATTTTCCCACTATTCCATTTGCATATTGTAACTAAAAATAGTTATTTTATCATATATTCTTTCACTTGTTCTTCTGTTTCAAATTTATACATTTAAGTAATAATATGTTTATTTGTAAACAGTTCTGTTTTCAAATTAACTCTTACAATACTCAAAACCAAAAGTTTTTTCATCTAAATCTTTCTATAAATATATATAAGAAAACTATTGGCAAATATATCCTATTTATATAAAAATGGTTTGGGATGCAAGTAAAGCTTTTATTAAAGATTATTTTGTAAAACATAATACTTAACTCAAAAAGAAGATCCAAGAAAAAACACAGGCTATTTTGAATGATAAAAAGCATTAAAAATGTCCAGAGAAGATAAGCATTTCCCATCAAATTAAACATTTATTACAATAATTATTGATATTAACAATAAGGGAAATGAAAGTAAAAATAAACTATGTAAACAAAAAAAACCAAAACCAAATTGCAAATAAATTAGGGATATGACTGGAGTACAAATGAAGTTTGTGTTTCCTTGGCTGTGGATAAAATGAAAGCAATGTGAAAAGGATATAATGTCAAAAATAATTAGGAGCAGAGCAATATGAAAACGAGTTCTTAGTAAGAGTATATCATTTTTTCATAATTATGAGAATTAATCTATCTTTCTCCTTTAGTGTCACCCAGCTTTGGATGGGCAACGAGGGAAATGTTGGTGTGTGGATCGGAAAACAGGGTTGAAATTGACAGGAAGTCTGGAAGTGAAGGAAGATTTGGATTGCCATCAGCCTGTAGATGGAGTGGAAGAGTGACCAGGCTGATAAGTGGACAATAAGACTTGCCTTGACAATCTGCCAAGGAAACTTGTTGTACTTAGTGTTTGATAAGTAGATGCAATGCAAACTGGGAGTTACCACAATGCCTTTTTTTTTCCTGAGAGGGAATAATAGCAGTAATGGCTGCCTCTCTCCTCAAAATAACTGCATTAATCTAAACACAATGTGGTTTAGTCAATCCGTTTCTCTCTGCTGTTTAACTGGGTAGCTATTTGCATTCATGGATCATTCTTCACTGACAATGGAAATTATATTCCCTGTGAATGACCATTGATGACAAAAAGCCCCATTGGCTTTAATCTTGAGTACCTCAATTAAGTCTTTTGAGAGTTTCCTCTGAGTAGACCTGCTCTTGTTTTTGGTATAAACTGTTGGGGAACTTGCTCTTCTCCTACTGAGAAAGGGAAAAAGAAAAGAAAAGCTCTTTCCCACACTTTTCTTAAAGGTCCACTAAAGTCTGAGATGGTTCAGTAGTGCCTAGACTTCTTCCATCCTAATATACTTGATCTTCTTAATGCAAGGGATAAATTACATTTAGGATGAGAAAAAGTATGCTTATTTAAAAGGCCTCATTTTCTAGCCATGATACACCAGTCTTCATTCCTGGAACCGGTTTTTATTGCTATAGCCTTGAAACACTTTAAAGCAACAATATAGATTAGAGCATTTTTGAACAAAATGCTCTAATTTGTATTAATCAGACAAACTTTTCTCAATCCCTTGTTTCTCCAAATCAGAGTTTTACTTTGAATTTAGGATGTCCTTTCCATAATTTCAAGTAAAGCTTTAATTTAAAACAATTGTTACAATTGTTAATTCATATTCCAAATATGAAGGGGTACAAAAAACTCAAATCATAATATATAATAATTAAAACCATGTTTCTGCATTCATGCATTTAAAAAATCAGAAAAAAAGATAGCTGGTATAATTCAGCTGATGTTTCTATCCTTGCTCAGTAATTAACTATTCAGTATATTTTCAAACAGTAAGATAATCTTTGCTGCATAAGATGGCATCTTTGAAATCTGGAAAAATGAGATTCTAATCTAGGGCATTTGGTAAAAATAATAATGACTTCCAATTTGTAGTAATAGTGACAAAAGAACTTTTAGAAATTGGCATGGGAGCCGGATTTAGCAACATTTTCAAGGATTGTGCTTTGGCTTATTTGAATAAAATAAGGGTGTAGGAGGGAAATCCTAAAAATGGGCCTCTATATTTATTTAATTTACATTGGAGATAGGATTCAGATTCACCTGATATAGCTATTTGCTTTCTTTTCCTTTCCTGTTAAATGTAGAGTAATTATAGCCCTGGTATTAAGAGATGTACCCAACCCAAGACTACTTCAAATCTGGAAACAAAAGTGAACATGTTTAGAGTACCCAAGACTGAATTTGTCCATTCTAGAGTCCAATCCGATTTATTATTAAAAACAAGGCCATTTTTTTTCTAGCTTCTTTTGAGTGTTAAAAAGTTTCTAGTTAAAGAGCAATAAAATTAATGCCATCAGACAATCTTGCTGCAGAACAAGGAATCCCTTCCTCAAATGAAATATGTCTCGCTAGCAAGTAGAGTTTGCAACATTGGGGGTGGGGGTGGAGGAGATAAGAGACTCCCAGCCCCCTTGCTGGAGTTTCATAAAAATCTTCAGTTTGGACTGCCAAAATTTATTGGCAAAACCATTAATTTTCTATGGGGCAATTTCTCACATTTTGCCTTTAAAAGGACAAGATAGATCACCATGAGTGCAAAGTAATTCATTATCCTTTTTTAATTATATCCCCCAGATTAGAATGTTCTTCCTGACTATAAATACATAGGTTGGTCTAACTTTCAGATAAACAAATTGTCAAGAAGGAGACTCTGGAGCATGTTTTCAGAGCATGGGGTAGCAGCACTAACTTTTGATGAAGTCCTTTACCTTCCAAGAGTGTAAGAACTCATTACTCATTACAACAACCACGGGGTGTTGTTCTTTCAAATGGAGGAAACTTCTTTTGGACCTTGTTGCCCTTATTAATGACTGGTTTTAGAAAGAGAACAGTTTTAATAAGGAATTGAAACTGTCAGCTGCAGGCTTTCTTCCTGAAATGATATTATTCTAAATGTAGGTTCTTTTTTTAGAATGTACTAAGACAATAATATATCAAAAGATAGAAACAAAAACATGATGCATGAACAATAAAAAGGGATGAAAGGACAAACAGGAAAGGAATAAAAAGGGGGCGAAACCCAAAATAATTCATAACATGAGGAAAACAAACATATGGCTGAACCTTATCTCAATTAATCTATAAACAGCAACTATCTCCTAATAAACCTGTCAGCTTGATATCTAACAGAGCTAACTGGGGAAAGAGGAATAAATAGTAGATCATCTACTATTTCCAAATCCAGGATGCTTGTCTTGACCAAAACAGTATTTGGGTTTTATTGTACGGCAAACTCTTCATTGCCTTCAGGGTATTTATTATGTGGATTTGGGGAATCTAATCTTTTCTGGGAAATGAAGGGAAGAGTAGATTCAGATCTACTGAATCTGAATCTGGCTGCAATCCACTGTTGGAAGGTTTTGGACTTCAGTTTCATTCTTTTCAGGTCAGTGATAATTGCTTGATCCCTTTCTGGTCTACTTCAGTCCTTTAGGAGTGCAACTCCAGGAATTCTGTAGTCATTTTCAAGTTGCTGGGTTCCTATTTTCATAATTTCCAGCCGCATCTGGGGAGCACCAGTTTTGGAAAAACTATAACTCCAAATATAGCTGATTGGTAAACCACAGCATTTGCCAAGGATGAAAATAAGTGAACTTCCATATACAGTGGTCCATAACAGTGCTGTATTAGTTATTGCTAGCTAGCTTTATATTGCCTGTGATATTTTATAGAGCGAGTTGTGCTACAGATGTGGGCAATCTTTTAACACCTGCAGGTTGCTCTAATGTTCATGACACTGTTCCTCAACCTTTGCAATTTAAAGATATTTGACTTCAACTCCCAGAATTCCCCAGCCACTGAAATAAGTGGCTCAATTGTGAAAATTAGAAGAGGTCATGATTTCTTTTATTTCCCCTTGAGGCTGCAGAGATCGGTTTCTATTTTCGAAAAAGAGTTGTTACATTTGTTTGAGGGAAAGAGTAACAGTTTGGGAGTTTTTTTCTGCCTCAAAATGGCATGACTAGTTTTTGAGAGCTGTGGTGCAATGGGGATTGGTGGTTCACAAAAAAAAGGTGGGGGCCTCAGGTTGCCTATTTCTTCTTTATTGCTTTTCTGTAGGTACAGTGCATTTTTAAAACTGCAGTTATCTGAGAATCAAGTCCATTGAACTCAGTGGAACTAATATTTGAATAGCTGTGCATCCTATTGCCCTATTTCATATTTGCTACATCAAACATAGCATCTTTCAGCACAATCACATACAATGCTGAAAAATTACACTTCTTAGGTGTCAAGAATGAAGAAGTGAAGGTGATTTTTTTGTTGAGAGGAGATATTCTCTCAGTGCCAGAAACTAAAGCTGTGTACCCTTCAAACATGATTCAGTTTGAACATTAAGTAAACTCTTAAAATAGCAGTGCATTTTAATAGCCGACCTCTTTAGCAGATTATTTGAGAAGTGCAGAATTTAAAATCCCATGGAATCCAGAGCAGTTCTTGTGAATCCATTTTGAAGCAGGAACAGTCTTATTAAATGTCTTCTGTTTCATATCTGGGAACATATAAAATCTTCACACAACACATGCAATCCAGTCAAATCTGGTAGTATTGTATACTTCTATATGGTGCCTCTCTTCATCTTGTCAGGCTTTTGCATACAATAAGAGCTGTGATTATATGCTAATATATTGGTTGCAATGTTTTTGTTGCTGTGAATGTTATTGCTCTTAATTCTATTTTTTTTAAAAAACAAACTTTTCAAATGATACAGTTGTTGTATATCACTTAATTTGAGCATTTCTGGGAAAAGCTATTTATAAATGGTAAAAATAAAAGAAAAAATAAACCAAAAATGTCCAGGGTGGTATTTTTTACATTTATATTTTCAGGTTTCTTTTTCACTGGGGATTAGTGGTGGGATTCAAATTTTTTTACTACCGGTTCTATGGGGGTGGTTTAGTGGGGGTGGCATGGCTTGGTGGATGTGACTTGATGGGCGTGGCAGGGGAAGGATACTATAAAATCCCCATTTCCTCCCCACTTCAGTTAGAGGTGGTTTTTTACTGGTTCTCCGAACTACTCCGAACTACTCCAAATTTCTACTACCGGTTCTCCAGACCTAGTCAGAATCTGCTGAATACTACGTCTGCTGGCGATGATGAAATTTTCCATGTGCTCCAGATAATCCAGGTTTTTTTTTCTAATTTAGCAACTTTAACAATTCTAACAGATCTTAATTTGCCAAGTTTGAAAAACACTGAGATAATCCAATACAAAGGAAGAGAATCACCATAAATAGTAAGAAAAACAGGCATATGAAGATCTTGATTGCTACTTCCACCCACCAATTTGAAAAAAAAGAATATTCAAGTGGAACTACAGTATATCTTATATGAAAATATAAGCAATGTCTTTTCTCTCCTTCTTATTCAAAAGAATCAAAGGTGAGTTTCTTACACTTTTAACCACAAATGGTTCCAAAGTAAAGGTGTGAAAGAAACAGACAGGCCTAAATTAAATGCACTATTTGCAGTTAAAACCAAAACCAAAACCATAAAATAATGTTGAGATTCAGCAAGTATGAAGAAGGAATTTAAATATTTGCTCCCTTGTTGTTTTACTCTTCTGAGAACTATCAAAGGGCAAATTTTCTCACAGTGCAAATAATCTCTTTAGAAGAATGATTTTCCTCAAAGGATTAAAAAAAAACCTTTCCAATAATTAAATTCCAATAAGCAACTGTTCCCCTTTTTTTCTCTAGCATGTCTTTATGTTTTAAAAAGAATAGTCTTACATATTAGAACCAAAGGCATGTAGCATTACATGAAAGTAGAGTGTAATAGATTTATTCAGGCATAGTTTGGAATTATATGAAGAAGTTCTAGGCAGCCTTAGACTAAAGAGCTTCTGTCTCTTTTCTTGATTCATATACAACCACGACAGATCCTTGTTTATGCAATCAATGTTGTATCTGATTAGTTATGCTATAATTGGTCATTGCTTTGTTTCAAGGTTTGTTAAAAGTAAAGATGAAAAGAGAATCATAAAAGAAAAGGGACAGGGAGAATGCAGGAGCCCAAAGATACATTAAATCAATGAGGATGGTGATATTGAAAAAAATGGCTTCCATTCTCCCCTCATCCTCATCCTTTCCTAACTAAATTTCCACTTCAGGGATGAGAAGAAACAAAACAAAACAAAAAAGACATCCAACGTCCCATCCATCATTCTTCCCAATGTTTTCTCTGGAGCAATTCCTAAATCCTATTTAAGCTCCATTTCCTCTATTTAGATTTAATTTGTAAAAAAAAGAATGATTAAAAAGTCATCAAGAGTCGATCTCCAATCTACTCTCACTCAAACAGAAATAAATCTAATAGAACCTAATCCAGCATTCAGATTATATTATTTTCTTCTCCAAAGGGTAAAAAAATGCAGAATGCTTATTTGTGGAGGGGAAATTTCCTTTGGTATGAGGTCCTTGAAATCTTATCATAGCTTTGAAAATGTAATTGAAATTGCACATGGGATTCCTACAACAAGGAGTGTCTATATATTGCAGCACAATATTAGCAGAATGCAAATATAATTAAGAGGTGCAATGTGGAAGCTAATTATATAAGACTTTAATGAGGGAAATCACAGGTTGGACTAGGTTCTCTCTCAGTCTAATCTATCCTACAGGGTAGCTAAAAAATAAAATTAAATAATTTCTTTGATTTACTGGCAGAGGAAGATTCTCATTATATTGCTCTGAGTTGTAACATCTTTTTAAAGTTCAACATACAACAGATAATTTTCCTATTTTTGTACATTATATATTTTTGTATATTATTAGCTTTCCCAATTTAATGTAAAGGTGACATCAGTGAATGGAAGGAATTTAATTCTTTTCCTCCTATTGCTTCTATTGTTTAGAAAAGATATAAATATACATGTTATTTTCCACCATAAGCCAAATACAAACTACGACTCTAAAAGCACTATTATAGTGTTGGTTGGGAAATTCTGGGATTTGAAATCCCCACCTTGTTAAAGTTGGAAACATTGCATTATGATGTTCTGCTTAGGTTAAACTGATTTAAACTGATTTATTTATTCAACATCTTAGAATCACTTTATAGGGGAGGTGAGCAGCATATAGCAATAGCAATAGCACTTAGACTTATAGACTGCCCCAAATGCTTTATAACACTCTCTCTAAATGGTTTACTGTGTCAGCATAGAGCCCCTAACAATATGGGTCTTCATTTTACTGACCTCGGAAGATGGAAGGTTGAGTCAACCTTGAGCCCGTGAGGATCAAACTCCAGGCTACTGTAAATTTAAAAGAAACACACTGAAGAACCTGAAAAGATATTCAAATTTGGGTTACCAAGCTTTACATCCAATTTCTTAGTTAGTTCACAGATTTGGTTCTCTATGGAACTTCTACATGGTTCCTACTGCATTCCCCTAAGACTTCAGAATTGTCCTGATTAACTGCCATAGTGGAAGAGGTTGCAGATGTGCAAATTTACTGAGATATGGTGGAATAGCACTCATTGATTTCCATAAGGAGTTTCTAAATGCTACACCCACAAATGGCTGTAACCTTTCCACAACTCCCGGAAGAGCTGACATAGTAATACTTTACTCAAGAAGAAGCAAGTTAGTTATCTTTCTTCAGAAGATTGACCTGATTGGAGGATGTGTGCTACGGGTTGTTCCCTTTCCACAGAATAAACGTCATTGGTTCATAATGTGTTAAAAGAATTCACTGTGAATATCAAGGTGAAATAACTACTGTAAAGGAAGGTGAAAGTACAAAACAAGTTGGAGGTCGAGATAAGAAGCAAAATAAATGATATTTAGGTCAAGTGAGGATCTTTGTAAACACATAAATGGGGTAGAAAGTTACACAGCTTTCACCTGTGTAGTTGAGTTACACAGCTCAGAACTCCGCCCATAAAAGAATATTGCATAAAGCAGCTAGTTTTTCCCATATACCTTGCTGCATAATTTTCTGAAATCTAATCTGTATTTCTATAGACTGGGGCTTCCTTCCTTCCTTTCCTGGCATCTCCTAAGCAGAACAAAGAGAAAACAAGATCAAATGGCCCCATTTTCTCTCCCCACTGCTTTTTAAAGACCACCCGGAATTTGTGAGATATATATGTTTGGATGTGTTTTCTCTGTCCCCTGGGTTGACTGATTCAGTTTTTAAAAACTCTTCCAATGCCTGAACTTCTTAACTGGGTAGTTGCAGCCACCATGTTGACAGAATTACTTGTGGATGCTCCTGGATTGGGTATACCCATGATGCTAAACTATAATAGGTTTGATTTGAATTTGGTTTGCTATTTTTGCCATTGTGGTGTGCAAATCGAAGTTTGCGCATTGTTTGAAGCTAGCCATTATGGTATATTCAATTAAGCATGGGTAGCAAACCATGTGATCAGTGCAAGATGTGAATCCAAATACTATTTCATTTGGGGTAATGCAGAATGCCTCTTTTCATCAACACATAATAGTGCTGACACATATTCAATATGCTATCAAAGTTAATATCATAATAATTATTGGCAGTGGCTACTGCCTATATAGTTATTCCCCCCTCATCCCATCCTCATCCCCAAATCTGGCAAAGCAATTCTTGGCTTTAATCATTTATGCCTGTTGTTACTTTAGAAACGAGAAATCCTGGGATTGTTTTCCCAGCTTGTATGAAAGTGCTAGCAAGTCGAATGTACAAAAGTTAGATTTATGTCCTTATTCTGTACCCTCCCCATCTTTGGTGCCAACTAATAACAAATATTATGTAGACTTTTGCCTTCATTTTAATGAGCCTTCCATCGGGGAATGACATGCTGATAAGATAAATGTCATTTGCAGCTGCTTCTTCATTTTCTTGGCAAACTATCTTGGAATTCTTAGACTGTTTGTTCCCCCCAACCCACTTTTGTTGAAGGACTCAGTTGATAAACACAGAGAGAAAAAGATGTTCAAGATGGGGGCAGATGGCCAAGGACCCCATCAACATAAATTCTGAATAGGAGCCAACAGCTTGCTAAGTCTTCTCTCTTCACCTCTGGCAACAGTTTTTTAGGACAGTTCAGACCTTTGAAAAAGAAAAAAAAACAGGAAAATCTTTAGTTACCAAAGAAAGATTCAAAAGGCCTGCAAACTACTGCTTCCTCAAATGTAATCTCCCTGCAGGACACAGAAAGTCCCTGAAGGAGAGGGGGAGCATCCCTGTCTCCCCAGAATATAACCCTCCACTCTTCGGGTACACAGAATCCAGTAAAATCAGAGACGACATTCAGCAGGTTCTGACCAGTTCTGGAGAACTGGTAGAGGAAATTTTGAGTATTTCGGACAACTGGTAAATACCATCTCTGACTGGCTCCGACCCCATCCATTCTCTGCCTTCCAGGTCGCAGTTAATTGGGAGGAAATGTGGATTGTGCAGTATCCTTCCCCTGGAGTGGTGAGGGAATGGAGATTTTACAGTATCCTTGCCCTGCCACGCCCACTAAGCTAAGCCATTTTTTTTTTGAATCCCACCACTCAGTGAAATGTTTTCAGGTCTTGTTATCTGAGCACAAGAATGGCTCAAATTGGCATGAAATACAGTAGTCTATTCTTGACCATCCTTGTATAAGAGTTTTTGTCCCCCAAGCTCTACAGGACCTAGTGGAAAAGCCTTATGTTGCTCGAATCATTATATTCCCCTTCCTTCCTACCCCCTTAAAATAGATTTGCCTCCAAAGGAGAAACTCATAATGCACTAGGAGTTCCCAAACTCATGAAAGTGATACTATACCATACTGAATGGCTTGAAAGAGATGCTTCCAAAAATTCAATCCAACCC